GCGCGGATCCATAGGGTCCTATATGGGGCATTTCGAATGGGTTCAGATGCTTTTTCACTGTTGTTTTATTTCCTCTTGTCATTAGTTGGAGCCGCAGGAATCGCCATTTTTTTGGCACCGGGCGTGCCTTGATGCCTCAAAATGAATTAGTAAAACGTTTCGGAGGAACTCAAACAGGATTCCCATAAAGTCAAAACTATCCAACTAACTATAGAAACTCACAGTTAGATGAGTGCTTTTGAACTCTGGATTCGTATCTTTCTTAAAATCTTAAACAGGATTTAACTTTCGATGAGCTATGACCCATATAAAGCATGAGTGCAGGGAATGAAAGCGGGATAACGGATAGTATGTGAGGGCTACGAGTCGGACAGGGGTGGGGGAGGCTGGATTCATCGGAGAGTCTTAGGGTTCCATTGGCAGTTCGCTGAATTAGCCCTACTGGAATTGATAGGAAAGAGGATCATGGCAAAACTGGAAAACCGGTGGGATGGCTAGTATCCGTTTCCCGCGAGGAGAACAGAAATCTGTTCTACTGCTGTTTGCGACGCTCACTTAAAGGCAGTTGGCACGATGGTTTCCTACTCGGCCTAAAATGCTAGTAGGGCGCTATATAGTGGGGAAATGGCGAAAGAACGGAGTGAAACGGTCAAAATCCTGCGAAGAAAAAGCCTCCGTTCTCAGTGACTTGAAAATCGATTTCGGACGAGTTTCCCGTAGGCATCTTGCCAATCACCGCTACCGAAGATACGGCTGCATATGTGTACCCATATGCATGCAGCATCACGCTTCATACCAATCCCTTCGCTTCATAATTTGCTTAGCAAATGAATGAATACGAGCGTCAGGAACGGTCGTCCATTTGTGGGCGGGCGGGCGGGCGTTGGGGTAATGTTGTGGCTTGATAGGGCCCTTATAAGGGCACCTTCCTTGGAGGAGCCGCTATGCAGCGCCTGCTCAGGGTCGCGGAATTCCGTCCAGGCGTATTGATCCTAGTCGTCTTGGGGGGGGATTTATCGTGCCAACTGCCTTTAAGTCCTTATCTTGGGGCAGAAAAGGCGTTTCCAAACGCGCACAGTAGCCGCGAAGGTGCAGAATGAAGAGAGGCAGAGACACATGCATAATAGAGGAGCCGACACGGCACACCCGTTGTTGTAAGGCTTTTTTACCTCTCCGATATGGACTGTACCTGTTGTCACAATATTTTGTCATCGCAAATGGAGGTATCAAAGTGCGGCGGGTAAGACACACACACAGGAAGTCATTGAATGCGACGGATGTCACAGAAAAACATTGCACTCTTACACGCCATTGTCCGAAGTTACACCAGTTTGACGCCATAGGTCCAATAAGCAAGCCGCATCGTGCACGACCGCCATTGGGATGGAGTAAGTATTATAAGAGTGGGTCGTTGCTATCTAAACCTGTCTCTGTTTCCAAACTAAGCTGCGCGCCGCAAGGGTGCACCCTCCGCTGGGTGGGAGACAACCGTTCTGTGGATTGGTTGCAGGTGCTGGGTTGACCTCTGTAAGAGAGCGTTCAGACTTCGCGACGGCAGCGCTCGGTCGCGCGTTCGACTGCATCGATCGCGTTGAACGCGCGACCGAAGCGCTGCCGTCGCGAAGTATGAACACTGCCTAATTGTAGGGGAGTGCTATCCCAAGCATACTACGGCGTACGCCTGATATCGAAAGTTAACTGGTTTCTAAGTATGGGTAATAGTCGACTCCTCCAATCCTCCCCACTGTCACGAGCATTGATTGGGAGAGGACACACAGGCTGTCCTTCAAAAAGAGATATGGCAAAAAGCTGATATAGCACGTCTTTTGTTACTTCTTTTTAGGGGGGGGGGAGGGGACTGGTTGGGCAAGGAGGGGGTTATTGTTACTTTTAGATGTATACCTTTGTTGTTCAATTGACTGGAAGTCGCAATAAATCCTGTATCTGATTATGAGTTAGATATTTATGGCTAGTAGGGGATCGATCGCGATAAATGAAGCAAATAAAATGCTGTCAAGAAAACAGAATACTAGACATCCCATGTGTTTTCACTTGACAAAAAAAATAGTGAGCTTGTGAGTCGTTTCCATGTACAACTGAATGCCTTTCAGTAAATGTTAATGAATTGATGGCTTTTGAAACCCGGGACCTTCCTGAAGATGTCTGCGGTTGGTCCCGGTTAGACTGGGAAGTGGAGTTCACTCGGCAAGGCATCGATAGTGCGTGGGCTGAAAGTGATATCAACAAGGAATACAGTGTAAGTTGCTCCTCATCAATCACACTGATCCTCTTGAATAAAACTAGAAGTGTTTTCAGATTTGTGACACGTATCCTGAACGTCTTTGGCTTCCTGTAGCTGCTAATAAAAATATACTTCTGGGTTCGTGCCGCTTTCGTTCGAGGGGGCGGTTGCCAACTCTCACTTATTTTTATAAACCGAATGGAGCTACCATTTGCAGGTAATTAGGGGAGAATTAATTTGTTCTGTGTACCAGTAAGGCTGCGTTCATACTTTGCGGCAGAGTTCATCAGCGACCACCAACATTCGAACGTCTGGCAGCGTCAGCGAGTATAGACATCGATCTAGTGTCTGCCAGCATCCACCAGCGTCCACCGGCGTTCACCAGCGACCGGGTTTAGAGAGTATAGGGAATTAGGAGGGTAGCGGCGAAATGCATCTCACCGCACAACTGCCGAAGCACAGAATCATGTATCCATTTAATGTACGTGTAGAGTACTTGTACGGTGCGGTTGCACATGCCGCAATTTCACGACGCTTGATCCCGCTGCCCTCCTATTTCCCATGCTCTCTAATTCCGGTCGCTGGTGAACGCTGGTAAACGCTAACAGACGCTGGCAGACGCTAGATCGATACCTATACTTCCCTAGCCCTCGAGACGCTCAGACGCTAGCAGACGCTAGGTAGATCTCTATAATTTCCTACTGGACGCTCGGAAGGCCGATGGACGCTGGTAGACGCTGGTTGGCGCTGCCGCAAGCTATAAACGCAGCCTGATTTGGTATGCCGGTTTGTCGATATGTGCAGTAGCTCTTAAAGTATTCGGCGAAATATCTGTGGCGCTTAGCAGCACACGTGCTTGATCGTCACGTGGAATTATTAAGTCGCTCCACTGCAATCAAGGTTTTTTAGGTGTGCACAACCATTGGCAGGGTTTTCGGCCCGATGTGTTGAGGACGAGAAGCTCATGGAATTGATCAGACAAGCGAATACGAACTGCGACACGCTGTACCTCGTAGACACTCGGCCCATGGTTGGTTTATCGTTATTGCAGCCGTTTTCGCAACAGACGCTAGGGCGTGTCAGGGACTTTAAGTTTGGCGCGGTGCCAGACCGTTCTTCGCCGAGTGTTGAAGCGGCAGCATTTGGTGGAAAACGGGCTGATGTCGCGCCGAGCCCAGCCCTTGACACGTCCAACATCTGCAGCGAAAACGGCTACATCTCATCCGCGTTGTTCTGACTTTTCCCCATTGTCATTGTCAAGGTTTCAGCCAAGGTGCTTAACAGCTAGTTTTATAGATGAATGCAATGGTGAACAAAGTGCAAGGCAAAGGATTCGAGGACGAAAGAAACTATCTGAATACTAGATTTCACTCCTTTGATATTGAAAACATACATGTAATGCGAACTAGTCAACAAAAACTTCTTGACGGTGGGATTTTCCTCTGTCGTTTTGGCAATCTTCAATTCGTCATTTCGTGATGTTTCGAAGTTGATATAAAACTTCAATATTGTGGATGATTTCAGCTTGTAACAAAGCTCGCAATATGACTGACTACTACAAAACGTTGGAGTCCTCAGGATGGCTGAAGCATTTACGAGCTATAATCGAGTGTGCGATTTTTTTAGCCGAGTCTGTAACTCAAGGTATGAATTTTTTTGCCCGCATACGTCCACACCAATTTAGTTCTTTTCTTTTCTTGAATGCTCATTGTGTTGAGAACTTCGGTGGCCCAGCATTCCCTTGTGTGTAATGTTGCCATTTTCACTAAACAGATTTCATCCTTGGTAGGTGCCTCACACTGTACCAAACGGTCTTAAAATTATGACTACTTTTCTTTTCGCATTTTGTTTACTGGACAATTGCCGTATAGGCGGGTGAAACGGGAAAAGACGCCTGCAGTAGGGCCCTTAACAGCTGCTCCAATCAGGAATCGTACGAGTCCACGCCTGATATGAATATGGGTGGTAAAGATCCACGTGAAAAAAGCACGGCGACTGCACAGAAAATATAAAACCGATTTTCTTGCAAGCGATAGAAAACTTTGCGACAATATCAGCAGGGGTCCTTTCAACAGACAGGGACGAAGCGGCTGTCGAAGATTCGGCGGGAATCAATGAAAAAAAGCCAAAAAGTAAAACAATTCTGAAACTACAAAACGAGCACTGCGTACAAAAACCTTGTGCTCTGCCAAAGAAAGTTATTTTGTTACCAATAAGGACTTATTTCACGGAAACGGAACCCTATAAAGGGAAAAAGGGCCATTCAGCCACAGATTGTGGGCGGGAATAGCTGATACGATCGCAATAAGCTTCTGCTGATCGGTGGGGCCATTTGTGGACGTGTCGTTGTTGGTGGGACCATGTGGGTATGTAACCTTCGCTGTTGCTTAAAAGGCAAGCGTATTGCGATTCGATGCAGAAATCCTATAGAGTACAAGATGGCAGAGCTCGAAGTCACAGCGGATGTCCCTTTTTCGCGGCTGAAAAGCGCTTGATAAAAGCATGACAGCTCAAGCAGACGATAAGCTGGCTTGCCTCTATGGGGCGGGGGGAGGGAGAGTCAACAACAGTTTCTACTTTCGGTCATTTTTCCGTTTCCAAAGATCATTAGCAGTGGATAACTTTAATTTATCGAATATGGCGCTTGGATGAAATGAGTCGACAGGGATTGGAGATTGACGCATTAGGAGAGCAGCTCGCCCATTTTCAATACCGTACATAAGGTCTTTTTGGAACTTTCAACGGGTTTTTTGTTTTTTTTTTCTCCTCTAGCATTACACTTACAACGTGATCGAATGGTTTAAACTGTGCAACCTGTGAAAGGCGATCGCGGGGCGGCTGTCATTAAAACCGCTTTTCGTTGGAAAAAAACACCATGTAGGGCGTTACTGATTGAGCAGGGTATTCTTTGGTCGATCGTCGTTGACTTCATTCTACATGCCTAGTGGATTTCTCCGTGGCCCTTTGTCGGTTGCGCTCCATTCTCACCCGGAAACGGCGCCTGGAGAAACATATCGGTGAGCTCAGTTGGCACATGATTGGAGTTATCACAAGAATGCTGATTTATGGGCAGAAGTCGAACCCCGGTGGGAGTGGAACTTGCACCTCACGCTTCCCGGGCTAGTGCGCTATCCGTTACGCCACCAGGGTTTACCCTCTACGCTTAACGGCTTTTATACCGTAGCCTTACAGCACTACACGTTTAACTTGGTAGGGCCGTGCAAGCGTAATCGTTTAGATATCGCAACTGGACCGCTAAGTCCGAAGGCATTACAATTTCGAGAGTGCTGTTGGGCTATAAAAGAAAAAAACGCACCGTAGCTAAGTCCCATTGGACACGGATCATTCAGACGGGAAATTATCAATGTTGAGATTTGCGAAAAAATGTCGCAGATCGGCAACTTATTTTATCACCAGTTCCCACTTCTGCTGAACTCTATCCGCGCGGGATCTGATTTGTGTCCTACCCTTTCGGATTCTCCCCAACACTAGAAAGGGTGGGAGGAGGAACGGGCGCCAATCTAGATTTTAACATATTTTCCTCTCTTTTCAACAGAGGAAGATGCAGAAATAGCTTTCTGAGAGCTAGTGCATTTCTCGGAGTTTGTTGTAGCAATAATAGCCGTATAATCGCTTATGTCTAAAAATATGCCATGAGTGTCTTGAAAAGCTGCCCTTCTTTTTTTTCTGAATCAAATGAATACCTACATTTGTTGTTCATTACTGGAAAGGTAAATGAGTGTCGGATGTGTGATCATTCCTAAGGTTTTGCAAGTTTTTTTTATATTCAACAAGGCATGTCTGTGCTGCGCTACTCATACGGTTCAAAAGTTTTCATCCTATTGAAGAGCATAATCTTTATAGGGATCACATGTGTTGTGCACTGTTCGGATGGATGGGATCGTACGGCGCAGACGGTGTCGTTGGCGCAGTTGATTCTTGATCCGTTCTACCGTACTATCCATGGCTTCCAGGCATACTTTCCGTCACGACTATGTTTCCATGGCTTTTATTGGTGCAACCATTTGCTTTGTAGGTACTAATAGAAAAGGATTGGCTAGGATTTGGTCACAAATTTGATGATAGGTGTGGACATATCGGGGCGCTGAATGACGAAGCAGCCAAAGAAGTTTGTTCTAGAAATTTACTACGCTTTTGACCGTTTCGCTGAATTCCCGCATTAAGGTTTCGCCGGTGTTCACTCAATTTCTGGATTGCGTCCATTTTATAGCTGAGCAGAAGCCCTTGGCATTTCAGGTTAGTTCTTTTCAGTTGATTACAAAACCTTTTTACTAGGCATGGATAGATCACTTTTCTAATTCTTCCAGTTCAACGAACGCTTTCTCATAGAAATCCATGAGCATGCCTATTCCTGTCAGTTTGGGACGTTCATCGGGAACTGCGAGAAAGATCGAAAGGTTTGTAAACATTCGGCGAAATTTTGGTCTTGCTCCGAAATATACAGTCGTCATCCGGGCACCTGATTAGCCGGCCAAAGGGTCGCTACGCGGCTGCGGCGCGTCACGACCGCGGCGATCAGCTGTTTCCAGCCTGTTTAGCCATTTTCTCCCTAATTTTCACTGTTTTTGGCTGCTTTTCTTTAGTTGTTCCTTGTCTTCACAAGGTAAATTATGATTGAAGTTTCTCTGATATTTGCGAACAGTTTAACAATCAAACAAATACCTGGAAAAAAGAACGCAAAAACACTTCATTTCAAAATCATGTAAAGGATCTACGTCCTAATGCACTTCATAAAGGCAAGAACACAAGTTATCTTGGAAAAATAGAAAATACAGTGAAAACTAGGGAGGAAATGGCTGAAGCCAGGCTGGAAACAGTTGATCGCCACGGTCGTGACGAGCGCAGCCGCGTCGCGACACTTTGGTCGCCTAATCAACTTGCCGGATGACGACTGTATCAGGTTGGCCTAGAAAACTGAGAAACGTTTTCGAAATTGAAGTTGCGCATGCCGACATTAGGTGAAGCTCATCGACCTTTGTTGTGTGCATTATCTAGCCAGCGTTCACCCAGCTTATGGGTGCTGTCCCTCCTGATGCAATTTGGCGCAAGGCATAGAAATATAAAAGCATGAAGAACCTCAGTCAGAACCGCTTGTGACGGGCGCGCTTCAGTAACACCCTTTCCCTTTAATATTCGAATTTGGATGGTTACGCGGGAGAACTCGTCTCTCGCGAAGTTGCTCGCTACGCCGGCCAATGCAACAAATTACGATTCTCTTGCCATGTACCCGGTTCGACGAGCTTGCTTCAACATCACAGAGTTCGCAGGAGTCAGACTTGTAAACCGGAAAGTGCGAAATGTCCCCGCCCCCGTCGGCGAGCTGCGCCGTA